TTTTATCTCAAGAAATTATCACAATTATCTGCGTGAATTATTGCTATTTTTCAACGTACTAATAAATTCCTAATCAAATTGAAATTCATTTTCAGTCTTTTAACTGATAAACGAAAATCTTAAGATGCAATCAAATCTCAATAAATGATTATAAAATTCGCACTTCACATTTGTATAAATATACTATAAAAAATATTTTAACAATTTGATACATACTACTGTAAATTTTATAGGCCTTGCATACAATTATGCAAATTAAATATTTGGGCAAAAACTTCCTCAAATTTGCATGAAATAATCAAAAATTATATATTTCATTTCAATTTCTTTTTGGTAATAAATATTTTGATTACTTGATAATAAGCTAATTAATATTTTGATTAATTTGATATATAAGTTAATTTGGAAGGGTTAATAAAAATATTGCAATCAGTTATTGGATAAGGCAACGAAAGTAACATTTTGGATTAAATTTAATAATTATAAAAAATAATGATATAAGCTATCACATTGATTAAAAAATTTCACGTAATGTATCAAATTTGAGTGAAATGTGCGTATACGACCGCTTATTAATAATTCCATCTTCAATAATAATACGTTTAAAAAGGAATAAGCTGAAAATAAAGAAAAATAATTCCGATATAAGGCCACTAAATGTGTAAAATTGGTGAAATTCGCCATAATTTATTATCATAAATATCATCAGCCATAGTAATATGCCCAGTCGAAATATAATAAAGCTAAAATTAAAAAAATTAATTCAAAAAAGTTAACAGAAAAACAAACAACAATTAATGATAACAATTAAGTGGAAATAAAAAATATCTTAAAATTTATTACTTTAGTTACTAACTTTTAGTTATCTCTTTGAACAATTTTGCATAAGTTAAAAAATGCAACAAAAAAATATCAAAAAATAATTCAGTCAAAGAAGTAGTAATTAAAAGTTCAATAAAGTTTGTAAATTTTTGACGACAAAAAATTAAAACTCACGTTACACACGTACAAAATGAAATAATTGCATAACGAATATCCTTAAATGGTTCCGCTATAATGAATCTCATAATTGACCGAGCATGCAAAAAAATTCTAAAAATTTAAGCATATTGATCAATGAAACTTCATATTTTTTTTGTTATTTTAAAATTTGAACAAATTTGAAAATTCTGTCAATGAAAATTTGCATAATATGATCTCTGTACCGAACTCATGAGTGATTCTTTAGTATTATTTGCAAATAACGTAAAATTTTGGTGTTACTTTTATAAACTTAGAATATTATACTAAAAATTTGCATAATTCTAACAATTATTGCATTTTAATCGAATTTTTGAAATCAATTATTATTATTTTGTTAGCTTTTAATCAAATTTTAAAAATTGATTAAAAATAAATGAAAAATAAATTTAATTAAAATAATTTACGTATTGATTTCAACCATTAAAGCCCAATAAGTATACGGAAGAAATTTGTGGGAAAGTAATCCGACGCAAAAAATATACGCTACGACTATATGATGTACCATGATTGGAAGGCAATTTCGATAGTTATCATTTTTGATAATATCCCATGTATCGTAAAGAAAATAGGCTTAAAATTTTATGCTACTTTAATTATTTATTAATTAAAGATTACTTTATAATTATTTCACTAAACTTACTGTATTATGAAGTTGCCGAACAATTAATTTAATAACATTACTGTAATTTATATAACAATATATAACATTAGAATATTATACTAAAAATTTGCATAATTCTAACAATTGTTGCATTTTGATCGATTTTAATAAAAATTGATCTAATTCGAGTTTAGTATTAAATAAAAATTAAGCATTAAAAATATGCGCGGGAAAGTAGCAATAAGAATTTTTATTCAAATTATAGTTTATCAAGATTCCTAAAATTTTTCAGTAAAATTGTTTGCTTCAAATTTAAAAATATCAAATTTTTATCAAAACTATATTGTTTAATAATAATTTTATAAGTTTTTACCGAATGAAAAATAAACTGTCTGAGCAGCTATTGGACTATACCAATGTACCGTTTCCTCAAGCATTATCGTAGTATGTGTGATAAAAAAAATAAACGAGAAAGTCCCAGAAATACAAGAATGAAGAAGGGATACGGTCAAATTTTGTAATCGATAGCGCCTGAAAAGATGGCAAAAAAATCAATTGTATATTTTAATCTTAATTAACGAAATAATAGAATAATTAAAGTTTATTAATTATTCCTATTCATCTCTAATTTTTTATTTTAATCTCAGTCTTTTACAAAGTGATCACTAATAAAACAACACAGTATTACCAACTTTAATCTCTATCTAAACTATTAACCTTACTATAAGTATTACTTTATTTTAAGTAATTTTAGAAAATTATGAAAATAATAAAAATAATATCAATAACATCAAACATATTAATAATAAGATAGATTCAAATAATATTAATAATGATCACAAAATATTGATAATAATGTTGATGAAGCCAAGACAATTAATGATAACGATGATGATATTAAGTGATCAATACTTTTGAAAAAATTGGATAAATATCAGAAAATTTTACCTGTATGGCTCGTTATTTTGCCAACAAACTTGCTTTACTATATAACCAACAATTTGTACAATAATAAAGTAAACTGTTATCGGTAAGAAGAAACTAATCTCGAAAATGCCACCAATTCTTGGTATTTCCCAGTGCCTTTGGTTTTTCATTAATTTTAATTAAAGCTTAAAATTGGTATCAAAGTTGAAAGCGTCGTGAAGTACTGAGTTTAACGACAAAGCCTGAAAACTAGCCTGAATACACGTTTGAAATACTAAGTAAATTTTATCCTTAAGGACTGAACTGAAGTCTAACTATTAATTTATTGATTTAAATACAAGTTAAAATTTAAAACAAGGTTTGAACGTTAATTATCGTACGAAGTATAATTATTAAATTACACGGATTATGAATTTGACAAATTGTTTACAGTGCTTCAATTCTATATCAAATTCAAGTTATTTTAGTTGCTATGTTGTCTTTGATCAAAACTTATAAGTAAATTAGTAAATTGAATGGTTAAATCTTCAAAAAGTAATCATAATAATTAAGAAAACTTTTTGGCTCACATATTATTATTATTATTATTATTATTATTATTATCTTATAAAACAAATACAGAACGAATTCAAAGATGTAAGAAAGGAAAGAAATAAATTTGAGAATTTTAAAGGACGCTATCAAATAGAACAAATTGTATTTTCTGATAAAAATGAAAAAAACAAAAGTATTAAAACAAGATTAATTTGCACAATCAAACATATCGAAGAAATTTGACCCAAAAAGTTTTCTTAATTAATTTAATTATTTAATGAATACTTTCACATATATAAACAATAACAAACAT